GGTGAACCGACTGGTATATATATTCACAAACACCACATGCACATGCACACACCAACACACATACACGCACACACACGGTGATTGAACGTCACCTCCAGTCCGAGGATGGCTAGGTAACAAGGTATACACTTATCTTGGTAATTCTTCATCACTCGTAGAACTATGAGGATAGTATTCTTGGTGTGTCATCGAGACATGAAGCCTAACAGCTGCTGAAAGATCGGTAGCGTGGAACAGACTTGAATTGTAGCATGGATAAAATGGAAAAATCCTCTGTATTCCCTGCTACTGATGTACTGCAGTATGTTGAAGGGAAATTCATATCGGACAGTTGTGAGGCAGCTAGCGCCGCTCTGCTGGCAAGAATCATGAGGGTTCACTTCACTCAGCAGAGATGAGGCTTTGAGATATCCTTGAGGTTGGATGCGACGTGACTGGTCTAGAAACGAAGACGTCATGGCGGTCATGCAAGCAGTTCCTGTCCAGCCGAGTTTGAGAGAGCAGCACCGGTTGAACAAGTTGGCACGTACTGAGAAGGATAGCAAATGCCGCTCGGCTGCCCGTGCGTGATAGGTTGAATAGTGTATTGTCCCTGGGAGCGATTTTCGCTTCGTAATTCCAAACAAGGGATTTTGTGCTGTGCTCGTTCATATAGTCAACAACGAACTATGCAATGCAGCCGAAATGGTAGAAACATAGTCATCACTTCGAAGAAGCCTATTCACTTCTGTGAATTGTTTAGGCCAATGCAACCAATGACTGCATGGTAAGCCAGGGCTTCCTGGTGTGCCGATGTGATGACTGCGGTATCGATGACATTTTGAATTCGACGAAAGCAGTGAGCGATCTGGTGAGTCTACCCGTAGAAGTAAGCTAAATAGTCGAATCATTCTAACAACCATTGTAGGAGGGGAATTCGATTTCTTTGGATGAGTGAGTGATTGTTCACTAAACAAGGGTTCAAGAGCTGAGGATAAATTTCGGATTTTAACCATACCAAGGACTGCCGGCGTTGATGACTTGCGGCGAAATGCGATGACATACTCATGATCTTCCAAGTTGAGCTTTGTTTCATTACTACTCGACTTCGTTGTGGAGATGAATCACGAATTTGAGTTCATCGAGATTTCAAGTGTTCTGACAGTGAGAGCTGAGGGTCTCTGAGGAGACACTCACTTCCATCGTTTGTAGCCAGGCAATATTGTTGAAGAATGGAACTTGTATTACTTTGTAAAAGACAAGCAACGAAATAAAGGTCTTACATAGGGTTTAGTAGAGGTGACTCACCTGCGAGTTACTTCCCACATAACTCTCACAGCAAATCATGGAGCAATATATTATATTAGGTTGATACATAATTATTGCGGATTTTTTCGCGGCTCTTTTTCTCTTGAAAGAATTTGGCTTTCGAGTTCGGGTTTTTTTCTAAAAATGATCTACTTAATTTCCTCTGCAAGAATATACTCAAAAAACCATCCGTATGTTTGCGAAATTAGGCTTTACTACTTCGAGAGATATTGGAAGGGTGCGCACTCATTCCGCGATCTCAGTAACTTTTCAGCGATCGTTCATTAGGTGATATAGTGAAAGTACACATGATGTCCTGGTGGTCAAACACGGTCAAATACGGTCAAACATCTTAATATTTTCCATTTCCCTGCATTTTACCTTCCTCTATATATTAGGTTGATGAATAATTATTGCGGATTTTTTCCAGCAAATTTTACTTAAAGAAATTATAGAAATACTAAGCAAAGACGTATTCAAATAATTACTCCGGAACTTATTCACCATCTACGTCAAGCACTGCTTCCCATTGATTAGTTAGTCGGATACCAATAGCGAAGAAGTTTTGATCCTTACGGGCGATCCACGCCTTGAAATCGGCCATCGAGTCATCCAAATCGACGTAACTTTTATTCTCTAGCCATTTTTTCGATGAACGGTTGACGAGATAATCCATAAAAGTTCCTGCTGGTGAATATGGCAGATTTAGGGGCAGATCCCATTTCTTGGTTGGTTCTGGCTGATTGTTCGATCGCCGAAAAGTTACTGAGGTCGCGGAATGACTGTGCCATCTTCCAATCTTNGTCATCCAAATCGACGTAACTTTTATTCTCTAGCCATTTTTTCGATGAACGGTTGATGAGATAATCCATAAAAGTTCCTGCTGGTGAATATGGCAGATTTAGGGGCAGATCCCATTTCTTGGTTGGTTCTGGCTGATTGTTCGATCGCCGAAAAGTTACTGAGGTCGCGGAATGACTGTGCCATCTTCCAATCTTTCTCGAAGTAGTTAAGCCTAATTTCGCGAATATGCGGATGGTTTTTTGAGTATATTCTTGTAGAGGAAATCAAGTAGATCATTTCTAGAAAAAACCTGAACTCAATAGTCATACACTTTCGTGAGAAAAAAAGCCGCGAAAAAATCCGCAATAATTATGCATCAACCTAATATTATGCTTCCAAGAGGGGCAGGCAGCAGGAACGTGCTGAATTTTACTGTGGGTAGTCTGTTTTGAGAGCCGGACAACAGAGTCGAATTTATGATAATTCGCGTGAGCGCAAGCCTTTGTTAGCGCCGTCGAACCATTATTAGCATCTGCTTTACCTATTCCAATTGACATTTCTTCCACAGACGGCCTATGTAGCTAGGGTGTAAGTCGAGTCTACTGTAACCTTACCCGCCTTTCCCGATATCTGAATTGTGCGTTCATTGTACCCATTATCCGAGGATTGCGACCGCCCGTCCCTTTGCTGTAACGTTTTATTGCCATTTGGAACGCGTACGCCATCACATGTACACAACCGCGTACGATCTTACTCAAGGAGAATATCACCTTTTGCACCTGCCGTCCCGTTGATCATCGATTTCATCGAGCGGGAGCCAACGTCTCCGTTCGTCCCTGTCGGCTTGAGAAGTCCATGAATCGTCCTCGCTCGAGGGACACGGGGCAAAATGTTACTTTCTTCCAAAGTTTTCGTGAAGAACTGTGACCATCGTACTGGAAATCATCCTAGTGTTCGTTTGACGTCTCAAAGGATTCAGTCAGTAACCGCCCTGGTCCAACGGCGGCTCACTTGATCTCCATTTTCTTGGTGTGAGCAACGGAATAACTGATCTTAGATCGTTGACGAAGCTCGAAACTACGGATTCTCTTCTGCACCCGCGTGTATAGGAAAAATCCGAGCATCATCTTTCCGCAGCGCTTTGAATGACGTTAACTGCATGCTCATTCTGGTTTCGTAGAGTCCAAATCTCTGAGGCGTATATCAAAGCAGCAAGGACCGCAGTATCGAAAAGGTGAGTGCGAAGCCGGATAAACTCTGTCTTCTTCATTACTCCCACGATACTCTTGAATGCTCCAGACGCGGCGCGTTTCCTTCTGCTCAGCTCCGGAGCTAAGTCGTTCATCCTGGTGACTTTCCTCTTTATCTTTATCTTTATTCGGTACGTTATTTAAGACAGCGTTTGAAATGTAACAATCAACACAACACAAACAAACTTAGATACACATAGCTAGAGCCATAGTAGCAGAATACTATTCCCATTATTACATGAAATCGCATCCTCGCGAGAGTTTTTTTGCATGGTGAGTGTCGTAATTTTTGAGTGAAAGAGGTTCCATTTATCATCAGCTGAAAGTACTTCACATGTGATCTGTACCACAGAGTGTTCTGAGAATTCTTGAAATTTTAAAGCTGTCCCACATTCCGCTATGACTAATGCTGAAAAAGTCTTGCAGCTGCTTATTTATTCATTTGTTTATTTATTTACTATGCGCCTGAGGACGCGCTACAGTCCTTCAATGCAAGAACTAACGAGAATGCAAAGATGTTTGGTCTAGAATCAACAAAAAAGGAACAAATACCAACCAAAAAACAGAAAAGAAGTGAACATGACTAAAAAGTATATTAAAACAATCCTTTCTTGAATCAGCTCACTTCTTGGTACGGAAAGAAGAGAGAGCAAAGAAAATTAGGAAATTATAGATTTGCTTGTTGAACGGACTGGCTCACTGGTAACAGTTAAGCCTGTACTGGAGCACTAAAGTGATGAACAGACAACCAGCCGATGCATCGAAAGCATTGAATATCAACAGGTACGACACAGGAAGCTACGGAAAGGAGCGGATAGCCGAGCATACTTAACGTGCAACAACCAAGCGTTACCTAAGACACAGGCCTGCATCAGTCGGCTGTGATGCCCACTCGCCACATAGGGGGTCATAGTGGCTTACCGAAACTTCGAGACACGGGTATACCGACAACCCACGTGGAGACGGCAAGCTAGGCGAGTGTCCCGGGTGAGGCCCATGATAGCAGACGGAATGTGACAGGTGTCCTCTCAGATCCGGAGCTCTGGGGAGACGGTGAAGTATAATTGGATAAAAATTGAACCGCCAGCTGATGTGTCTAGCCAACAAGTGTGCTTGGCAAGTGGCAAGTGGCAAGTCATGTCCGAGCAGGACCACTGACCGGAAACCACTCAGCTATCAATAAAGAGGGGAGCGCGAGCAAAGAGATTTCATGACACGTCGGCGAAGCCCAACAGACTCAAAATATTGGATTTTGCGATAGCCTTCTTGAATTGTGCTGAGTTGTCGAACGCCAGAAGTTGGGAAGGTAACGACTGCAGCCACTTTGTAGCTCGTATTATATAGCTGTTAGCTCGTAGCTCCCGACATCGGTTGCCCATTTTGTGATTGAAAACATTGAAGGTGCCTCTTCGTCCTCGAGATGGCCGGAATGTTCAGAACTGGGAAGGCTTCAAACGCAATTCTCCTTTTAGAAGCTTAAATGCTAAAACAAGATCAGCTTCAACACGCCGATGAAACAGACTCCTCAAGTTTAGCACCCTAAGTCGAGTCCGGTAATCTGGTAACGTTCGGGGGTAATCGCCACTCGGGAATGCTCGATAATACAAAGTTCTACTGGACGATTTCTGTCCTTTTTCAATCTTCTGATTGTCTTTAACGGGGTAGGGGCTCCAGACGGGGCTACAGTATTCGACTATCGGGAGAAAATACATCTTGTAGAGTCTGATCCAGCCGGAGATTTCGGAAGTATGGATATTCCTGAACAGGATGCACCAGTTTGAGTCCTTTACTTGAAATTTCGTCCATATGACAGCTCCACGTTAGACCAGCTGATAAATTGACCCCAAGATCCTTGACTTTGAGAGATGGTGCAACAGAGGTTCCGTCAGGAAACCGCACATCAAGTCTCACGGCCTCCAGTGAGAAGAGATAACATTTTCTGCGGTTGACTTTCAATCCCCATCTAGAACACCAGTTACACATATTCTCGACGGCCTTGTTCAATAATCCCCGAGCCTCGTCCTGGTCTTGTGCATGAAATGCTATGGGAACCTTCACATAATCGGCATAGGCGGCAACATGATGCCTACTATCTGCTTGGAGGCATGCACGAAGTCGTGGGTGTATATAAGGAAAAGCAGGGGATAGGATCCCACCCTGGGGCACTCCTGAGGTAACTTTCCCGGTTGTTGAGACATAATCGGAGAAGCGGACGTTCATTTTCCAGTTGGTTGGGTAAGATCAGAACCAAAGGAGCAACCTCCCTTCGAAGCCAAAACTTTCAAGCTTTGCCAAAAGACACGACCTCTGGACAGTATTGAACGCCTTAGTTGAATCGAAGTAGACAATGTTTACGTTCAACCCTAGGTTGATGGCTTCAATCCAGGTGTGGGAACAGTCTATCATCTGAGTACATGTGGAAGTGCCTGGTAGAAACCCGTGCTGTTCACAAGGAATACATACATACATGCATACATACATACATACATACAATACAAGTTCAAACACCCAGTCGAGCATGTTACTGTTAACAATTTTCTCTATGACTTTGAGAGACGTGAGCAAAATGCTGATGGGATGGAAATTGGGAATTAGTTTGGAATCATTTTTCTTGGAAATAGGGATGACAGTCGCATGCTTCCAAACAGAGGGAACTTGTCCTAACAACAGAGATATGTTACATATATGGGATAGAGGGGCTAACTCATCCGCAAACTCTTTAAAGGAAATTTGGGGGATGCCGTCAGAAGTCAGTGAATGCGACGGTTTGAGGGATCGCAGGTGCTTCAGAAACATGGGCGGGAGATAACAGTAAATCGAAGCAGTCATTGGTGATCGGTGGGACTACGTGCATACCATCGGCGCAAGGCGAAAAGACGCTCTCAAAAAAGTCAGCGGTAGCTTCAGCTTTATCACGGGCAGTAGAATCCTTTTTACCAAGATCACCTTCAAGTATATGTGTAACTGAACCGTCCTTGAGAAAATTGCTGACATAATTGGCAAGATACTTAATGTTGCATTTCTCAGACAACTTTTTCACTTTGTGGGCTAAAAAACGTTTTAAGTGATGATCTAGTTTTTTTGTAACATCTTGGTAGGCATCCGAGAGTATAGGATCAAATGTTTGTCGAAAAAGCATTTCTCGCTGTTGAAGCAGATTAGTATGTGTTTGGGGTAGCTCTTTGGCTGCCTATAAAAAAGCTTCAGTGGAACGAACGTGTCGATGAATGGCTATGAATGATTTGGCAAAATCCGTAGTAAACATCATCAATATCAGCATAGTTCGAGAAAATATACAGTCAATATAGGCGCTTGAGTTCATGTGCAATGGCATCTTCATCCATATTACAGTAATCCGTGGTGATGTAGTGCGACAAACGCCATCCTGAGCAGATAGCACAACGTCCAAAACATTGTCATCGCGAGTGGGAAGGTTTACGAATTGAACAAGTGAAATAGCATCGAAAAAAGCGAGAAATTTTCCCGCGGAGGATGAATCGCCAGTGTGATTGAGCCAATCAATATCGAGGTTTAGATCCCCCACCACTGTTGTCGAGGTGGGCATCTCGGATGCCAGGTCAAAAATAATCGATGATAAGAGGTCATCTTGGGAACTCGAAGTATCAGGAGGTCGGTAGATTAGGGGAAATCGATGATTCAAGTTGGACGCCAAAATATGTCAGAGCCCAACATATCCACTGATAGATTAGTTTGGTTGAGATTCACACGTTCAAAAAGCAGAAGACCATGAATAAGAGCACAGACACTGCACACTTTTTTCGGCCGGATCTACATTGTCTTAATACAGAAGAGGGAAGACCGCTCGAAACTTCAGAATCAGCAATCCTGTTGTTCAAGTCTCAGTAGTAAAGATTAAGTAAGGTTTGAGAGTGCTCAATAAAACATGAAAGAGCGGGATTTTATTCTTGAGGGTGCGTGCATTTAATAGAACACATGGAAGGGTCAAGGAACTGCTCGAACGGGTTTTAGTTGAAAAACCGGGAAGCGGGGGTGACCCTTGATTTCTTATGCGACGTAACGTCACAAGATTCAACGAGTTCTCCTCTGTAAGATACGAATACTCGCTTACCGCTGTGATCCTTATCATTTAGCTCGCGCGCTCGCATTGGAAGCTCTTTCTCGTTCTCACATTCCTGCCTGTCATTGATTTTCGTAGATATATATCCTTGTACGCAGGCCTTGACTGGAGTCTACGTGATCTCGATAGAGCTTCCATAAGGAAACGACCTTGAAAAAAAGATACATTTAACTAATCTGGGTTTGCCCTCTGTCTTGGACCCAACCGATAAACTTCAACCGGTCGGGTTTCGATGTCCAAGGCATCTAGTAAACCCACAACAAAAGAGTCGGTGTGCACTGGACGCTGGGACGCAAAAGGCTTCTCTCAGCCCGTGAGTTATTCAATTTGCAAAATCAACTAAAATCACTAAAGCAATTAGGAACTGTTAAGGAGATGTACACCGAATAAAATTAACGACCTGCGGCGCTTATCCGCCTCCATAACTTCATTTGAGAGCAAGGGTAGTGATCCTACGAACAGGTTCCGTAAAGGAATCACTTCAGGTGCCTTATCGACTAACATTCCTTGAATCTTGGTAAGCAGTTGTAGAGTGTCACTATTCAGGTGAGGACAGTCTTAGCAGGTGGAGGGTTTCGGGTAGATGAGCAGAGCATTGATTAAATGCGATCGTCCGTGACGAGCGCAGAGTCAAGAAAATGAAAAGTGATATTAACAGAAAACTCTGAATTTAGCAGAAAAAATACTTGCACTCAAAGTGCCTAGGAACTGGCGGAATGTAACATAATCACCAAGCAACCCTAAAAGCAGTCCAGCGATCTGCTCACAACGTCTTGGCTAGGATGGCGAGTATAAGATTGGAAACTCAGTGCCACTGCGCTTGGTGAAAATCCAATTGAGGAGCACAATGGCAACAACTTTCGAGTAAAATGCACGATATTAGCGCGGGGAGACGGGATCTTAGCGGAGAGGCATGAGATGCGTTCTGGGTTTTCTGAAGAAATCTCTCTTATTTTTTTTACATACAGTTTTTTGATCTGAGCTTTAGGAAGGAGGGAGTATCGAGGTGGGTTAGTCAATTGAATATTCAACTCATACCCCATCCCAGCTTTTTGCACGAGATAATCATCCCGCCTCTCCCTGCCACTCCTCCCCATTGGAGCTTAGCTTGAAACAATATCCTCTCGCCCAGAACCTTTCTGATTGTGAGCACAGGTCAGGTCGGCTACCCTACACTAATCCTCTACACTCTGGGGGACGCTCGATTCACGCGTGTCCCCATTAGAGCTCTCCACGCACGCAGCATCGTCTCAGTACTCTTCTGTTGAGATGGACCAATTAAGATTTGCAGTAGTCCATGGCTTCATCATGAGATACTGCAAATCTCTTCACTATGGCAATGAAGCTTTTTCGAACTTGAGAATTCACTTCATAGTTCAACAATTTGCTTGCCAAACGTTTGAAATAAGAATAACTTCAAATTTTTTTGATCCCAGGAAACGCAATCCTTCTGTAAACGTGCGTAGTTGATCATTTTTTTACTTACGCTTTATAAGTTCTTATTTCTCCCATTATGATGGCAGGCATGATGTTATGGCGCGTCCCGTCCAATGACCTCATTATATTGACGCGTGCATTGCACCACTCCCGGGTGTGGTGCGATTCACGCGTCGATATAGTGAGGTCATCGGATGAAACGTGTTATAACATCATGCCCACCATCATAACGGAAGAAATAGGACTTAAAAGTGGGATAAGCGAAGAAATGACCAACTATGCACGTTTACAGAAAGAATGCGTTTTCTAGAATCAAAAAATTTCAAGTTATCCTTATTTTGATCATTTGACAAGGAAATTGTGACCTATGAAGGGAATTCTCAATCTCGAAGGGCCCTTTTTTGCCATAATAAAGGGATTTGCTCTATTCATGGTGAAGCCGTGGACTACTGCAAATTTATTTGGTCCATCTCATCAGAAAGGTACTGAAACGGTGCTGCGTGCGCGAAGAACTCTAATGGGGGCACGCGTGAATCGCAGGCCCCCCCCCCACCACACCCATACCGCACTGCAATTTGTGACTCGGTAGCACTATCACGTGGTCTTCTCTATCACGAACACAACTGCATGAAGTCTCATTTGCTACTGACACTCGTCCGTCACAAGTCACATTTGCCAGGGGATAATGCGCTTGAAATTTTGCAAATCGTCTTGAGTTGCAATCATGCCTCTGAAGGAGACGATTACGTCGAAACGTTAGGCTGTTAATTCGGTAAATTGTTTCACTTTAAAACCTCCTGCTGCACAAGAATACTCTAACCACTGTAAACATAAAGCAAGACTCAGTCCACGGTGAGTCTGAAGTATACTTTTTAAGTTGAGTAGCGAAAGCGTTGGACAGCGTATCGGAGACGGAGGAAGTGAGAAATTCCACGAAAACCTGAGGATCCTTGGAAATTCTGAAAATGGAGGGTTGTACGAGTTTAATGTCGGAAGTAGAAGGGAAGGGAAGAGATTTCAGTGTCGCATAAGGCGTGAAGATCTCCCTACATTGAGCCAAAAGTGCTTTAGATCGTCTGTCAGTGCAACCATCGGTTATGACCAGTAGTGAACTTTCTTAATTTGCGTCCCTTGCAAATGGTGCAGTCTCTGCAGCGCGGTTGAAACTCGTCCGCTTCTGAGTTTAGGCCAGACGGGGGACGGAATATTCACCCAGAACTGAATGGACGCGGCAAACCGCGCGGCGAAATTCGTGGTGATTATAACGACTCTGGCGCCTATCATTGGGGCACAAACTTGAAGTGGGATAGATAAGTAGCATCAGCTGGCCCTACTTATATAATCTACTTGACACCCGTGCCCCAGTGATAGGCGCCAAAGTCGTTTTAATCACCACGAATTTCGCCGCGCGGTTTGCCGCGTCCATTCAGTTCTGGGTGAATGTACCCATACCCGGCCAGACTTGCCTTTGAAGCCCTATTGAGCCCTATCTAAGTCAATTTTAATTTGTTTTCCCTTTTGTTTTCTGTTTTCTTCCAATCGCTGTAGATTTGTACGGTAGTGTATTTTACTAGGCATGAATTAATGTGAAGGTTCGTTTTCAGAAAACGTGTGGTGAAACTGTCGTTTACAAAGGTGTTCACTTGCTATAACCTACTACTTCAAATGGTCCCTAGATTTCTTG